AATTTTACACTTCCAAGTATAAAATAATTCAGGAGTACTCAGAATTTTAAATCTTGTTGAAAAATTCATTGATAACTTATTTTACAGAGATATTTGGATGTATATCTTAACTATCCAACTACTTCTAAGTCCATTTGTCTAATGCATGCTATAAGGCATTGTCATAGCTTGTATCTTTTTAAGTGGATAAAAAACCTGCCAGTGCTTGAACAAATAGTTGAATAGCCAAGGTTTTAGGGTAGTTGGTCCACCATACCAGTCCTTACCAAATCCAGATTTCTAAGTGAATCCACTCCTCTGGGATTTATATTGCAACAGTGACTTATGAGCTAGACATTAGTGGAAAGTCAAAAGAGGAGAAAGCCAGAAGCAGTCAGAAAGAGGTATTAGGTTGATTATCTAGAATTTTATTTATGGCCTATTCAACGTCTAGGAAGTACTCTTATATAATTTCTTCAGAGGTTTTTTTTTTTAAAAAGGGAAATGAACATTCTCTGACATTGATAACTGCTGATTATAGATGGGCCAGGTAGTTTGGAAAAAAGTCCATTCTATAAACACTTGCGAAGTGCAGATCTCTAAGACAGATGTTACCAGAAAAATTACTTAGAATGGAAGGCATCAGATGTCTTTTGGTCTCATATACCAAAAGCTAGGGTTCGGCTAAGTGAAACACTGTGATTCTTAAACTATGACTCTGACACCATAGAAAACAGATCATTCAAGCCCTTACTATCTTTTCCTCTAACATGCCTCAGGATCTTTTTATTGTTCATCAGCATTCCCACCAGAAAGAATCTATTGGCAAAACTGTAAAGCTCAAACCTGCTAATATCCTGTGTAAATCAACAATAATAATAGCAAAATTTATGGAATGCTATGCGTAGACTCATATTAACTTATATTTCCCCCCAAATTACAAATTGATTACAAAGGAATAAGTGATGACTTTCAAGGAGAAATATGGGGAATAATGCTTTAACCAAATTTTCAAATCTAACAACATGAAGCTCAAGATATGATGTACTAGTATTAAGAAGCACAGAACATCTCTTCAGAGGTATTACTGGCAAAAAAAAAAAAATGCACAACCAATTTAATCATGAGAAAATAACAGACAAATTCAAATTGGGAGATATTCTACAAAATAACTATCCTGTACTTTTCAAAAATGTCAAGGTCAAAAAATACAAGAAGCTGAGAAAGTGTTGCAGATTAAAAGAGACTAAAGGGATGTGACAACAAAATGCAATGTGTGATCCTGGACTAAGGAAAGGAAAGCATATAAAATAGATAAAATCTGAATATGGATTATGATTGAGATAACAGTATTATGTCAATATTAAATCTCCTGGTTTTAATAACTACATTGTGGTTAGGTAAGCACAATTTCTGTAATTTTAGAAAATATACACTTAAAAATTTAGGAGTAAAGAGGTACAATAGCTGCCAACTATCCTCAAATTATTTCAAAAGAAGATAGGATGAATGGATGGATAGAGAGGTAGACAGAATGATATGGATATAAAGCAAGAATGATAAAGCAAATGCAGCGAAGTATAATACAATTAGTGGATGTGGATAAGCATATATGAGTTCCTTGTACTATTCTTCCAACTTTTTGTGTTTGAAATTATGTCAAAATTAAAAGTAAAAAAAAAAAATAATAATAAAAAAAACTTGGCCTATCTCCCAGATCAAATATCCTAACAGACTATATAAATTCTGATAATATTTAAAATTATATTAATGCATTTCTTTTCTCCTGGACTTTACCGTGTTTTAAATTTTATAACTTATCAGTTAGTAATGATATTGTATATGCCACAAGATTCAGGGCTATATGTTATACCTCAATATTATACCAAGCACTAAGATACTGTTTACTGTATCCAATAAGCACTAAAACATTTGTTAGATGAGTATACGCAAAATTATAGCACAGCATATGATGATTACAGAAAAATAATTAAATTATAAAAAGTACCACATTGCAAATAGAATATTGAGACATAGGATGTATAGGAAAAGCCTTAAATTATAAAAAAATAATAAATCATAATCATAAATCTAAAGAGATGACTTCCACAAATAGAGAAAAGTAAACTTCATTTTTCCTTATCAAGAGTTATACATCTTAGCTAACTACTAGGATGATGAACTTTCTCCCCATAAAAGTAGAATATTATATATGTTATAAAAAAGGGAATCAAATTAAAGACTTTAGGAATTGATATTTAAAACATTACTACTAGGTTAATACTAACTTGTGGTACAACTCAAAGACATTGCTTACAATTTCCTTATTTAAAAACAATGCTTTCGAATAATTTTCTTCCCCAAAGGCAAAAAGGATAATATTTTATAAAAACGATGTCAAGTCGTAAGAGATCTGGATATGCAATACGAATATTTATATATACACATATAGTATATTCACACACATACAAACATGCAAAGGAAAAAGAATGTCAGTTTGCAAATGTTTACAAAGTGAAATATTGAATGTAAGCCCATTAATAGCAAAAGATAAATTAAAATAAGTACACAAACTACATGTAATCCCAATTCACATTATGAATAGATGCTTTACATTTAGGACTGAAAAAAAAACAAAACCCAATCAACAAGTGTATATGCGGTTTAAAAGAGTTTCATTGTTTATTTAAAAATAACAAGGACAAAAACAAAAGTATGGATGGGTCTTACTAGGTCTCTTGACTAGGACTGGGACTGTGGGGAAAAATTCACAATATAGTTAGAGCCCAGTTAAAAAGTTCCTTTCAAATACAATATAATTATATATTACATTAAAATGTAATATAGAGATTGCATATTAGACATTAACTGCATGAACTCAATTTTCAATGTTTCCCAATCCTACTTCATATCCAAGTATGTAAGGCATAAAGTCCTTTTTCACATGAAACCCAATTAATTTTCTATTTAATTAAAATTTGACTTTTTTTCAAAATCACATATTTTTTTTAGGTACAGAGCATACTTAATGTGCCCGAATTAGGGAAAAGATGGGGGGATTAAAAACCTTAAAAGATTCAAAAACTTAAAATTGACCAAAAACATCGTAAAATCACCGCTTGCCTGGGGGGGAAGAGGGGGGGCTTGACACCATAACGTCTCCAGCGAGCCAGTGTTACAATGCTGTTATCCTGATCCTAAATCAAAGAACCCAATTTCTAATCAGGTTGTCAGGAGAAGAGATCTTTCCAATAAAAAATGGGTCCATTTTGTATTCTGGAAGCACTAACAACACTTAGCTTGAAAAATGTTTATATAAAGAATATAAAGAATGCCGTGTGCTTGCTTTTTCTACACTTTTTTTTTTTTAAAGAACTAAAAAATCACTCATGAGAACGCGATTAACGCTATTCTCCAGAATGTCTCCTTAGCGAAGACTAAAAACACTCTAAGGGTACACAGTAAATTGCTTCAACATAAAAAATGCCCCCTACTAGGTCCTATGTCCATCGTATTCCGCAGCGTACGCTTCTGAGTTGAAGTTGTCCTAGTTCATCCTACTAGGATCTCCCGTTCGCTAGCGGAAAAACAAGGATCTTCATCCCGGCGCCAAACGAAAAAACCTGGGGGGGGGGGGGGGGAGAGGAGGGAGGGTTCCGAGGTGGCACAAGAACAGATGGAAACAAGGTAAGAGAAGGTTAGTGCCTCCACTCCAGGTGCCAAGATCGAATCGCCCTCCGAGCCAGCTGCTTGCACGGTCCATCCGCTCTGCTTCCCTTCCTTCTCGCACCCCAAATCCCCTTCCAAAAGCAAACGCGCACAGCGCACGCCGCATCCATCCCGGCACCCGCGCCGTCCCCAGCCCGCCCACCGCACCGACCTGCGGGGTCACAGCTCCCGGCAACGCGTCCCGCTCAGACACACAAAAAGCGGGCGACAGCGGCGGCGAAGGTCCGGAGGAGGTCCCACCTCCGCCCGCCGCCCCGGGCAGCCCGCACGATGACAGCTCCGAGCGCAGAAGTTGGAAAAGCGCGGACGCCGCCGCTGCCGCCGACCCCGCCGCCTGGCAAGACGCGCCCGCGGCTGTCAGGAGCGCGGCGGCGGGAGGCGCGGAGGGAGAGGCGCCGGTAAGTGCGGGGACGGGTCCGTCACATGACAGGGAACGAGGACCAGAGTCGCCGGGGCGCCCGCACCGAGAAAGAAGGGGGGGGGGGCGCGAGGGTGTCATCTCTATGGCAACAGTCCGTCGTCCGCCCCCCCCAACCCCCCACCTCCCCGCCGTCCAGACTTCCAAAGAGGGAGGAAGAACTTCAAATCCCAACCGTCAGCGCTCCAGCGGCTCCTTCTTAAAGGGGCACACACCGCGCCGCCGCCGAGCGCCTCCGAGAGGGCAGAGCAGGGCGCCCCCGCCCCTCGGGCGCCGCCCCCGCCGCCCCGAGCCCCCCGCCGGCCCACCCGAGGCCGCGGCCCGCGAGCGCCCTGGGGTGGGGGGTGGGGGGTGCGGGGTACGGTCGCCCGGGACGCCCTCCTCTGGAACTCGGTCGTGGCGGCCGGCCCGGCCCCCGGCGGCGGCGAGAAGGGGGTGTGTGAGCGCCCGGCGGGGGCGCGGACCAGCCCGCCTTCCTCCGCGGCTCCCCTCCGCCCGGCCGCCGCCGCCGGGCCGCTTCCTCCCTCCTGACAGGGCGGCCGCCGGGCGGCCGGGGGCGCCGCGGAGTTTGGGGACAGCGCGAGCGAGCGAGCCAGCGGCTCCCCCGGGGGCCGGGCGAGCGGGTCCGAACTAACAGTTCGCGGGGAGCCCAACAGCTCCGGAGGGGAAGGAAGGGGCGCGGACGGCGCCGGGCCGGGAGCCCCCAGACAAAAGGCGAGCCCGGGCCGCCGCCGCCGCCGCCGCCGCCGCCAGCCCGCTCCCCATTGAACTGACCCGGACGGGAGACCAACTCAGCCCGCAGCCCCAAACTCCGCGGGCGCGGCGGACGGCGCGGCGCGGCGCGCAGCGCGGCCCCAGCCCGAGCCTCTCTTACCCACACAGTGCATGAGGCGGTGGCGCCAGGAGTCGAGCTCCCGCCGGAATCCTCTCCTCTCCGCCGCGCACCGAGGGCTCCGGCACTGAGCGGCGGCGGCGGCGGCAGCAGCGGCGGCAGCAGCGGCCATTCTCTCCCTTCCCTTGTCCATCTGCGTCCCGCGTCACGCGCCCTCATTTACATACGAGCGGCGCAGGCACGAGGCAGGGGCGCGAGCCCTCGGCGCGAGCCCCGCAGCGCGCGCCCCCCGGAGGGGGGTTGATTGACACGTGTCACTACCTTCCCTCGGCCCTGCCTTCCCCCTCCCACCGCTCCCTCCCTCCGGGAGAGGCGGGGGGAAGGGGAAGGGAGGGAGAGGAGGGAGGGGATGGAGCGCGAGGAGGAGGAGGAAGCAACCTGCCGCTTCCGCTGACCCCGCCTCCCCATCCCCTCGCCGGCGCCTCCTCCCGCCCGGAGTTTACTCAAGGGAGCCATACTGCTCCCGCCGCCCGCGAAATCCCGGAGCGAAAGCAAGAGGCTCCCGGCCCGGCCAGGAACCTGAGTGCGATGGAGCGGACTTAAGGACTCCTCCCTTCAGCCTTCCCGAAGCGACTTGGGCCGCACGCAGACTTCACTTCCCAGGCTCCGTTGCGCCGGAGTCCCAGAGCGGAGCTGGACGCCGCGGCGCCGTGCATGCTGGTCCTTGTAGTCCAGCAGGGATGGGCACTCTTCAGTCCTCCTTGCACACTTGAGCTTGGTCCTTGGACTCCTTTGCGCTGCGCCTCTGGTGGACTTGGCCTCCAATGCCCTGCGACCTGGGACTACTCTACTCGCCTTGCCGGGTCTGATCGAGTCTCCTCAGCTTCTTTAGATTCTACTCTAGAAGGGCGGTGAAAACCGCAAGAGTAGACCGCTCCTTGATGGTTCAAGCTACACTTAGTGCTTTAAGGGCTGGAAATTTTTTTGGGGGTCACTGTCATCTCGCCACTGCAGGGAAAAAGCAGGCTGGTCATTGGGCCGCATCCCAAATAACTGGGAAGTGTCTAGAGAAATCCCGCCCTAATGTAAGTTTTCAGGGCGAAGAGATTTCGGAAACTGAATACGTGTAAGGCTTAAGGAAAAGATGCGGGGCTTTTCACCGAGAATTATTTATGGAGGGCATTGGGTGTGACTGGATGAAAATACCCCAAAGAGGGAACTTTTTATCCTCTGCAAAATGTAAACTCCTGGAGGACAGCGACCCATTGAAACTTCTGTGCCATGACATCTTTCACTTGCCTGATTCTAGGACAGCGAGTGGCGTGGTATTTAGCAATTTACGAATGTTATGGAATGAATTCTACACTATGCTAGAGAAAATACTTTTTCTTCTTCAGAATGAGTTTTTCATTTAAAATAAACTTCAGTGATACTTTTGGCTTTTTGCATCACAGCAATTGTGCTTGTGTTTCTGTATATGTGCAGAGGGCTGAACCCAAACTTTACTAAGAAGTTCTGTGTATTACTGAAAATGTATGCACAAGTATGTGGGAAATATGTTGTAATTCTTCCTGGAAACGCCTATGAATTCTGAGCTCAGTATTACCCTCCCTGTTTTGTAGTTTATCCTTATCCATCTTTCCTTGCTTTCCTACCCCCCCCCCCCACAAGGAAGTATTTCATTGCTCATCACTACCTCTCAACAGTGAAGATATAGTTCTACATTTTCACAGATTAAGAGATTGAAATCTCCAAATCACCTTTCTATTGGAGAAATAAATAAAATGTCTTGTGAAGGTGCTTTAGGAATTATCAGTGAATAGTTTCAATTATGATCCCACTTGTAAATGCCAGCTATCAGCATTTGTAGCTTTCTGATCACTTTTACAGTAATTGACATTAGTTAGGATGGTCTAGTTTATGATGCAGCCATAAGTCCTAACAAAGGGTCCAAAATTGTGGGGGTGGAGCTTCAGAGCAGATCCTTGTCACCAAGCAACCTGATCATTTAGGACAGCTCCAATCATTGTAACTTCCCCACCTGCATGATAGGTCCAAGGAAGATGAATGACGAATTGGTTTTTCCTGAAAGTGATACAAGTCAGTTCCATTCACGTTTCTTTGATAAAAGCAAATGATGCAGGCATGCCTATTTTTTAAAGGGAGCTCAGAAGTGCAATCCTCCTATTTTTCCAGAAGGAAGATTACCAAAATTTACTGGTGAAGAGCACCAGTGATTACTGCAATCATCTTTCTAGTCACCAATTTACAGTTCACTCTCTTTACACTACAAAATATATTCACCTCTATCACAAATGAGATATTCCAGAAGTTCTATTTAGTAATGGCATTTATCTCAGTCTAGCATCTCTGGGTGATGGCTGATGGTCCCTATATTAGAACAGGAATAAGCTTCTATTGTTATAGGGACCTCAAAAGACAAAGAATTATCCCTCTCTGCTTACACACACACACACACACACACACACACACACACACACACACACACACACACATTTATGTGCAGTGATGGGACAGAGTCAGGATAACCACAGTAAAGGTGAAGAATGGAAGACTCACATATGTTACCACAGCTAACACGGATTACTAACTTTCCAGCTTCTAACAGTTTCCTTGCCACCACCATTGAGCCTCTAAGTCACAGCCACATATTTTATGTTTTCCATTGTGATAATTCTACTCCTTTCTGCATAGTCAGAATGGGCTAGATTATTCTCTAGTAACAGAGACTCAAAACCTCAGTAGCTTAAAACAAAGATTTCATTTTTACTTAAACTCTGTGTCCTCCAAAAATGAGTGTGAAGGAGGGTGGGGAAAAGTGTTCCATGTCCTTTCAGAGACCCAGGTTTATGGAGCACCACGACCTGGAACCTCCCCTGACACCATGACAAGAAAAAGATGTTAAATCACTGTCCAGCTCTTAAAAGTTTCTGCCAGAAGTGATGTATTTCACTGGGTAAAGCACATTATATGGTCATGCCTAACTTTAAGAGAGGAATATATCAGACTAGAGGCCCAGTGCACAAATTTGTATATAGGTGGATCTGGCTGGCCCACCCCAATGGGGGCCAATGGGGCCAGGCTGGTGGTGGGAAGAGGATGCAGAAGGTTGGCCAGCCTCACCCCTGATTGGGGTGGGGGGAGCTGATCAGAGGTAAGGCCGGCTGCGGGGAGGGACCACAGGTAGTTGGGGGGGCCGATTAGGGCCCTGATTGGGCTGGTTGGCTGCCGAAGAATGTGTCTTAGTGACTGATTGTTCTGGTGATTCTGGTCGTTCTGGTCACTTTTATATAAATAGACTAAGGCCCACAGCATGAAATTTGTGCAAGGGGCTTGGCCCTTGCTGCCTCAGCCCTTGCAGCCCCATCTTCATCTGCATCCGGAAGGTCGTCCAGACGGTTGTTCTGCTATTTGGACTAATTAGCATATTAGCTCTTTATTATATAGGATAGCTTTGCAGGTATAACCAACCCACATCCCCAAACTTAATAGCTTAAAACTTCAACAATTGATTTAGCTTATGATTCCATGGAATGGCATTTGTTTGGTCTCAACTGGATAGTCCAACTTACCTGGGCTGGGCTCACTGAGATGTTTGTGATTAGCTTCCTGTTAGAGAGGCAACTCTATTTCTGAGGGTGAGTTGGCTGTCATCTGGAACAACAGACCAAGCAGACCAATGGTTCCTTATCATCAAGAGGGTAGCCTTGGCATGTTCACATGGATTTCAAGGTCAGTAAAAGAGCAAGCCCTAATGCACAGGCACTTTTAGAGCCTTGGCTTGGGTCACATTTGCTCCCATCCAAATGGCTAAAGCAATCATATGGCCAAGCCCAGGGTTAATGAGGTTAAGTACCTTTTAACAAGAAGAGTTGCAAGTCACATTGCAGAAGGGTGTGGATAGAGGGGAAAAATTATCTATGGCCACTTTTGTAATCAACTGCAGGTGGCAAAGTGTAATATTACTATGTTCCCTAAAAGAAGGAGGAATAGAAATATTAATGAACAAAATTAATGCATATAGTATCTCTAGAATGTCTAGGCCAGATATTCACAAATTTAAGGATAGAAGAGAGTCAAATTCAAGATTGTCTCCTATTCTGGAAACCTAGTTACTCTCAAAGGAAATGTTAATGTTCTTTAGAAAGGTGTTTTTGTTCTGCAATCTATTTCCTACATATAGTGTATCATTTGCTTACTAGAGGTCTGGTGCATGACATTTGTGCACTGGGCTGGGCAGGAGGGGATAGGGGTCTCTCAGCCGGGCCTGCACCTTCTCACAGCTCTGGAACCCTTGGGGGATGTCCAACTAATGGCTTATGCCCACATCCTAGTGGTGCTATGGAAGCAGGAGAGGTTCCCACCACCGCTGGTGCACTTGCCATTATAAGCCCTCAAGGCTTTTGGCTGAGTGGCATGCCCCTGTGGGAGCACACTGACCACCAAGGGGTAGCTCCTGCATTGAGTGCCTAAACCCTGGTGGTCAGTGCATGTCACAGCAACCAGTCTGTTAGTTCTATTTGCACATTAGCCTTTTATTATATAGGATTATTATAAAGGATTGCTGTGTTAGAAGCCAATCCATAACTTAGCGGCTTAAAAGATTATTGCTGGAAAGTCTATGGGTCAGATAGGCAGTTCTGCTGATCTGACAAGGTCCTGCTGATCTTGACTGGGATTGTTAATGCTGGAAACTGCGTGATCTAGGAAGGCTTCACTCGGGTCTGGAGTTTGGCTCCGATGCTGAAATAATGGGAATGACAGAGCCATGTGTCTCATTACTCAGAGGCTAGCTAGAATTATTTACATAATGGCAGCATGCCAAACACATCAAGACCATAAGAACTAATGTGCAAGTGTTTTTCAAGTCTTTGCTGCCTTATGTGTGCTTGCTGCTGTCCCATTGGCCAAAGCAAATCAGATGACCAAATCCAAAGTCTGGAGGACACTAACAAATGGCATGGATACAGAAAGGTGTGAGCAAATTGGGGTCATTACTTCAAAGACACCACAATAATACCCATCAAGTTCACTATTATTTACCTAAAATTGATAAACACATTATAGAGCTCTTATACAGTACCAAGTATAAATATATCTTGCTGGGCAAATTAGAAGTTTCATGATTTATTTAACTATTTGGAAGTCAAAAAACTATTCTTTTACTTTGCA